GGATGGAAATTTGTTTCAATACGGAACAACGACAATAAACTGTACCAAATGTCAATGGTATGGAATCGTAACGACATACTGGGTTTCACGAATAAGGTTTTCTCATGATTTCTTTGTACAAAATAAGAATTAAGGCAAATTATGTAAAAAAAATCTGAAACAAAAATCTACAAAAGAATTTTTTGTCTTATCAAAAATAAAGAATACTTTTGTTATTTCTGATGTGGGGCATAAATTGGTTCAAAACAATGCATTTTTCCTTTTCTTTGTCAAAAGTGAAAACTGAAAATATAACCCCTGTTCAATCCACAGAAACTCGTTTATCGTCCTGCCATGTCGTCTGTATATCCGTCTTATCGTTTTCATTTAAGTGACCCCCCCGATTTTTAAACAGGATGGGTGCTCTTTCAACTTCAAAGTCTTCCACTGCACGGCCGCCATGTCTTTTGCGCCACCCATACAGTCTACTGGCGCGAGGTTTAGTTAAAAGTCCGCAGCAGTAAAGGTCAAAAGTAGGATAGCGCACCCCTGCTGGTTTAAAAAGAAGTATCACAATTAACTCTCTCAATCTTCCTCATATTTGTATCAAGATCAAAACGCCTTGTGATATATTGTACACTCTGCTATATTCTTACATTCATGTTTTGAACTGAAACGACATTAATGAAATCTGAACATCCTATTTTCTAGATCAGTGTAATTGTCTTCAGCATGGAGGCGGTAGTTTGTCATTGAGGTTGATTGGACTTCCTGTGATGCCATAGAGGTAGGTAGAGTTTTGGTAGGCCACAATATAAATGCAGCAAAACACAAACACCCACGCTGCGTAAAAAAAACTAAAAAACTATATTTCTCGAAACTTAACCTTGCAGCTAAAGGAGTTCAGCAGGGAGATAAATGGTGTGTAGCAGACAGAGGAGTGGGCTGGGTTTGTCTGTCTGAAGATGTCTGAGTGGGAGCTGACATAAACTGAGACGAGCCGAGCCAAACTGAGCGGAGGCGTAACAGTTATCTGTCCCCGACTCAGCCCACAACAAAACTCCATCACGGCTGAACAGGAGGAGAAATGAGTAAACAGCAGCTATCTGGAGAAGAGAAAAGACCTGGAGAGCAGCTGCATAGCTCTGTTGGGGGGGGTACAGAGCGTTTGGGTTAATCTGAACAGAGTTTGACTTATCGCCCGAACGTCTTTGTGGAGCAGGCTCCCCATTATCTGCCCTGTGAAGTGTTTGCACAATTAAAAGCTAATTTTCTGTCTCTTCTTGGCCGCCTTGTTAAAATGTGAATGAATGTGTGTTTGTGTATTAGATCCCAAGAATAGCGGCCAACAAAACGTCACTAAACAGCGTCCTAGAGCCCGGGGTAGGGTTTTCTGGATGGTGAAGGATGGAGGGATTGGATACACTCGGACAAAACGTTTCAAACACCAAGAGCAGGGTCAGCATCATCAGCTAAAGCCCTGTCATTAATCTGCTTCCAAAGTATTTATGAAAAACCTGAAAGTCACACAGTGGAGTGAGTCCGCAGTAACCCAATCACCAGGACAGCCTCTCCAGCACTCCCCACGGTCATATTTTAAGACCAGTTTTCCAACCTTTTACAGTTATTCAAGTTTATTTTCTCACTTTTTGGTTTCATTTATTAAGAGTCCAATTCACACAGAGTCCTGTTGTTTATTTGGGCTGAGACAGAGAGGGAGAAGGTATGATCTTACATGTGCCCTCCATTTGTCTGCCCACGTGTTTGCTCTCCAAACACTCCAATAA